GCATAGAACACATAAACAGAACAACAGACTATGTTCGGTTAACTGCCGGGCAGGTTAGCTTCACCTATAACCGTAAACTTATGCCACAATAATGCGAAGCCCTATTCCACCAGTCCACACCGTATCAGTAGGAGTTGCTACATTTATGAAAGCATGAATGGCATAAATAAAACCTTACTGGCATTCTTAGCAGTAGTTACTCAAGCAATGTTCCTGGATGCACACTCTGTCCCTATGGTGGGTGGATGCATTACTGGCAAAGTGGTATTGCTGGTGGTGTCTAGAGTACTTGGTGCGATTTGTCACTGTTGGCTGGCTTTCCCTGGGGCCCTTCTGTAGGTGGTACACATGTAGCTGTCCTTTTATTGCTGTTTGCAAAAGATGGCTAAAGGGCTGTTAGGTAAGGATCTATCTCTATTGCCTTAACTGTGGGCAGTATGGGTTTAAACTCTGTAGCTTTGCTCACCAATCCTGACATGGGACGGGTCCAGTCTCATACGCTTGGCAGTCAGTCGCCCTAGCAGGCCCAGAGCTTACAACCGGCTCTTCATGATAAGATCCTCACTATCAGGTCCTCACTGAGATGGTTGCACATCGCAACCAGTCTCCCTGGTTTGGGTTCCAGCAACTGTTTGTGGATTAGTCTCTAGCTCAGGTCCTCACACCTCTGTCCTTGATGTGGGCACGTGCAGCACAGGTCTGCTCGTAATGGCCTGGTATCCTGCACAGACCCTCAACAATAGTTCTGCATCAGGGGCGGACTGACAACTCATGGGGCCCCCGGGCAATAGGGGATCATGGGGCCCCTGTGGACTTGCCCAAACTCAAAAAAGCCTATGAAAAAGGTACCAGGGGCATCTCATGGGGCCCCCTACTGACCCCGGGCCCTTGGGCAGTGCCCGAGTTTCCAAATGGTCAGTCCGCCCCTGGTCTGCACCCTCTTGTTCTCCACACTGTCTCCTCTCTCGACACAGGGAATCCTGGGTATTAAAGTCTTGAAGCCATTAGCTGCTGCTGCCAGGAGCAAGCAAGAGAGGACACACAGAGCCCGCTCTGATCACAGCAAGGAAGCGAGAGGAGAGAGCGGGCTGAAGTGTACCTAACCCAGCGCTCCTCACACATCCTTACATAGCAGGAGACAAGGAGAGCGAACCCACAGCCCTGCCACTCTCTCAATGCTTACTTCAATGGGCGCGCATTTGTTGCGCAAAAGAAGCTCATGCACCTTTTAGGACGATGAACTATTTTTAAATGCGTGTTTTGCCGCGTGATTCTGTTGCGTCACAGTCGCGGCAAAATCACACCACGTTTGGGGCACCATTAAGAATAATGGCACCCAAATGCACATTGCGTGTTTTGCTGCAATTTGGAATCACGGGCAGAATCGCAGCGATTCTGCTGGAGATTCCAATTCGCCAGACTGAATACAGTCTTAGGTATTCGGCACAATAAAAAAGGAAAAATAGTGATTACAAATCGCCTGAGTGAATGCAGCCTTAGGGAATCGGCACTGTAAGAAAAAAAAAAAGGGAAAATTTTATTTTTTATACAATTTTATTAAAGGGTGGGGGAAGGAGGTAGGAGACAGAGAGATATTCAATTAAATGAAGGTCTGCTTTATTAATAATTCATTAAAACCCCATAGTGCTCTGGGAATCTTTTGTCATGATTGTACTCTATGTTAAATGCTCATCTGTAAAACAAAACAAAAAAAACAATATAAATGTAGAATAAATTTGACCCAGAACTATTATATTTTCTCTTCCAAGAAAGGCAAAGGAATGTTGCCATACGGTGTTGTGTTTGGCGTGGATTACGCCATTATCATCACTCGCTATGAACTCGCTATTATTATTTAAATTGGATATTCTTCTGAGATGCTCTGGATCAGCAGCAAAGTATTAAAATGAGTCTCAAGAGCCCCTTTAGATTCTTTCACTTCAAAAGTTTCGGTTGAGTCTGTATAATTCATAACAATAGTCTAACAGCCCGACTGTAACTTAATATCTGCCAGGGCTATCGGGCTACACGCCTTCTCTACTGAAGTGTCAGAGCGTCATTACCAAGTGTCTGAGCTGTCTGAAATCTTCCATAATAAATGGGATGTCACCTCTGGGCGAGATCCTGGCGATAAATACCTGAGAAATACAGCAGGAGGTTCCTCACCGGTGTTCGTTTCCTGCAGATCTTCTTTACCCCACTGTTCTGTGTTTGTTTGTTTTTTAACTGATGCTCAAAAAATGGTTGGATCCCTCTAACCCAACCTTTCTACCCTCAAGAAACTCTTCAAACAATTTTCAGGTCTAGGGGAACCCCTAATATTACCAGAAAAAAATACCCCTTACAGGTGGTCATTGGGAAGATTGCCCCTTACAGTGGTCAGTGGGAAGAATGCTCCTTACATTGGGGGTCAGTGGGGAAGAATGCTCCTTACATTGGGGGTCAGTGGGAAGAATGCTCCTTACATTGGGGGTCAGTGGGAAGAATGCTCCTTACATTGGGGGTCAGTGGGAAGAATGCCCCTTACATTGGCGGTCAGTGGGAAGAATGCCCCTTACATTGGTGATCAGTGGGAAGAATGCCTCTTACATTGGTGGTCAGTGGGAAGAATGCTCCTTACATTGGTGGTCAGTGGGAAGAATGCCCCTCACATTGGTGATCAGTGGGAAGAATGCCTCTTACATTGGTGGTCAGTGGGAAGAATGCTCCTTACATTGGGGTCACTGGGAAGAATGCCCCTTACATTGGTGGTCAGTGGGAAGAATGTCCCTTACATTGGTGATCAGTGGGAAGAATGCCCCTTACATTGGTGTTCAGTGGGAAGAATGCCCCTTACATTGTTGATCAGTGGGAAGAATGCCCTTACATTGTTGATCAGTGGGAAGAATGCCCCTTACATTGGTGATCAGTGGGAAGAATGCCCCTTACATTGGTGATCAGTGGGAAGAATGCCCCTTACATTGGTGGTCAGTGGGAAGAATGCCCCTTACTTTGGTGATCAGTGGGAAGAATGTTCCTTACATTGGTGGTCAGTGGGAAGAATGCCCCTTACATTGGTGGTCAGTGGGAATAATGCTCCTTACATTGGAGGTCAGTGGGAAGAATGTTCCTTACATTGGGGGTCAGTGGGAAGAATGCTCCTTACATTGGTGGTCAGTGGGAAGAGTGTCCCTTCCATTGGTGATCAGTGGGAAGAATGCCCCTTACATTGGTGGTCGGTGGGAAGAATGACCCTTACATTGGTGGTCAGTAGGAAGAATGACCCTGACATTGGTGGTCAGTGGGAATAATGCTCCTTCCATTGGTGATCAGTGGGAATAATGCCCCTTACATTGGTGGTCAGTGGGAAGAGTGCTCCTTACATTGGTGCTCAGTGGGGAGAACTCCCCTTACATCAGCCGTCAATGGGAAGAAATACTCCTAACATTGATGGTCAATGGGAAAAATGCTCCTACCATTAGTGGTCAGTGGGAAGAATGCTTCTTACATTGGTGGTCAGAGATGGTGAGAAAGACACCCTTCCAGACAGCTAAAAAGAACCTCCTGTCATGATGTTGGCTCTTTAAAGTGATGTTGACCCAAGGAATATACAGATGCCATCAAATGGGAAGTCAATCAGCCACAACTCAAGGAACCTGTAGCAATCTCTGGATCTCTGGAGGAACCCTAGTTTAGAATGGCTACTATAACCTCTCTTGTAACACAATGTTTGTCTCTGATGGCAGACATATCCCCAGATATTCATCTAAAGTAGCCCTTTCGGTAGCTATACAATTCTGCATGAACAAGTCCCTGATGTATCACAACCTAAACCAGGGTTCCATTGATCTCTCAGGTTCCTGCCAGAGATTGCTAGCGGTTTCTTGAGCAATGAGCCATATCTGCCTCTCAGATAAGTTCCCTCTGACACCACTGATCTCTCTAGCTATCTGTAAGGGGGTAAATATTCCCAATGACCACAAGTGTAAGGAGCATTCATCCCACTGACCATCACACTAATGTATCATGAGTTGTAGGTGTCCTTTTTAGCAGGGGTTCCCTGAGAGTGGAAAGTTGTTTCAAAGGTTCCTCCTTGTTGAAAAGGTTGAGGGCGGCTGTTCTAAACCAATAATATAGTTTTTCAGCAAAGTCCCATCATTTAATTATTAAAAAGTAGTCCTTCAGCTCCAGTCTAATGACTTTGCCCAGGTTGAGATGATGTCATCGCTCTGCTGCAGGCAGGAGGAAGCATTTCCTCACTTTCCTCCTCGCCAGGGATCAGACTGTAACATTGTATCTTTGTGGCCACTAGGTGAGAGGCTGCAGCAGACATTTGTGAACACAGCCATGAACGTCAGGACAGCAAGGATATATATGATTGTGTCATCTCTGAGCCGGCATCTCAGTCCCAAAAAAAAATGGAGACCCTGAATGATGCCTCCACAATGATGGCGCAGCGTTGGAGAGAAAAGTAGATGTAGGCATTGAAAGGGGAAGCGCCAAAGCAAGTCAGTGCTGTCAGTGATACTTTTTTTTAAATGCACTAACAATTTTAAAGTGTTACTAAACCCACAGCAGTACAATCAGTCTGTAGATGCAGTAAAGCGTGCTTGTTATACTCACTGTGGAACCTAAGGGGTTAATCCTCCGCATTGTGTAAAAAGGCTGTTTGATCCTGTCTTCTCTGATCCTCCTCTTGTTCAAATGTCTTCTCTCCTGATAAGACAGACTGAACTGTAGCCATTCTGCACATACTCAGTTTTGGTGTGTATTACTAGAGAGGTTTTTTTTTTTTCTTGGGAGAATGCATGTGATCAGCACAGGGCTAATCAGCACTGTCCAGACAGAGGTCAGGGGTTCTGCATCCTCGTAGAGCAGAAAGAAAACTCCTCCTACAAGCTTTAACTAATACTCTGCTGGGCACTGATCGAAGTCACAAGACTGCTATATACTGCTGATGAGAAAGATATTTAGCAGTTTATATTTACTAAAATAATTGCATTTCCATTTTTTGCGTACTGTGGGAGACCAGATATAGTGAATGCAGGGTCCGGAGAGAGCGGATATAGTGTATGCAGGGTCCGGGGAGACAGGGTATAGTGAATGCAGGGTCCGGGGAAAGCAGATATAGGGAATGCAGGGTCCAGGGGGACCAGATATAGTGAATGGAGAGTACTGGGGGACCGGATATAGTGAATGCAGGGTCCGGGGAGAGCGGATATAGTGAATGCAGGGTCCGGGGAGACCGGATATAGTGAATGCAGGGTTTGGGGAGAGGGGATATAGTGAATGCAGGGTTTGGGGAGAGGGGATATAGTGAATGCAGGGTTTGGGGAGAGGGGATATAGTGAATGCAGGGTCTGGGGGGACCGGATATAGTGAATGCAGGGTCCGGGGAGACCAGATATAGTGAATGCAGGGTCCGGGGAGAGCGGATATAGTGAATGCAGGGTCCGGGGGAGAGCGGATATAGTGAATGCAGGGTCCGGGGAGACCGGATATAGTGAATGCAGGGTCCGGGGAGACCAGATATAGTGAATGCAGGGTCCGGGGAGAGGGGATATAGTGAATGCAGGGTCCGGGGAAAGCAGATATAGGGAATGCAGGGTCCGGGGAGAGCGGATATAGTGAATGCAGGGTCCGGGGAGAGCGGATATAGTGAATGCAGGGTCCGGGGAGACCGGATATAGTGAATGCAGGGTCTGGGGGGAGACCGGATATAGTGAATGCAGGGTCCGGAGGGACTGAATATAGTGAATGCAGGGTCCGCAGATATAGTGAATGCAGGGTCTAGGGAGAATGCAGGGGGGGGACCGGATATAATGAATGCAGGGTCCGGGGGGAGAGGGACTGAATCCGGGGATAGTGAATGCGGGGTCCAGGATGCAGGGTCCGGGGAGAGCAGATATAGTGAATGCAAGGTCCAGGGGGACCGGATATAGGGAATGCAGGGTCCGGGGGAGCGGAGATATAGTGAATGTGGGGTCCGGGGAGCGGATATTGAATGCAGGGTCCGGGGGACCGGATATAGCGAATGCGGGGTCCGGGGGAGAGCAGCGATATAGTGAATGCAGGGTCCGGGGACAGCGGATATAGCGAATGCAGGGTCCGGGGAGAGCGGATATAGCGAATGCAGGGTCCGGGGAGAGCGATATAGTGAATGCAGGGTCCGGGGAGAGCAGATATAGTGAATGCAGGGTAGCGGATATAATGCAGGGTCCGGGGAGACCGGATATAGTGAATGCAGGGTCCGGGCGGAGTAGAGAATGCAGGTTCCGGGGAGAGCGGATATAGAGAATGCAGGGTCTGGGGCTTAGGAACACTTTAACTGTCACTGACCGCGCACATTGACAGTTAATGGAGCGTTGCCTTTGGCACACTGTCATGTAGAAGTGGTGCGATGTTGGAGTTGTCAGGCGCTGTGCCCTGTGTACACATCCGACGCTTGCCAATTCGTGTTGCCTAGAGCGAGACAGTGAAGACGGAGGAGGGGGAGGGGGGGTTCCGCCGCAGATAAAACTTTGGCATCCCTCCACGCGCGCCGCTCAGTGAGCCAAGGAATGAAGTCATCTCCAGTCCCACCAAGCCACGGCGAGGAGTCTTAACTTGACAAGCATAGGCTACTTGGTAAACAACGAATCGCAAGTTTTCCAAAGACGACTTTCGATATCCTGTTAGGCCGCGTTTCGGTCTTCCCTCGTCTGCGCTCCCCTCCCCCTTCTTTTATTTCATTTTGTTTTGGCCCGTACAGGATTTGAAACTCGAGCCGGCTTTTGTGGTCTTGGACCATTTTGGAGGAATGATCTCAGGGAGGGGGATGGATGTGCTTCAGACAACTTCCAGCTTTTTGTTTTATCTTTTTTTTTGTTCTTCACTTGCTTTTTTTTTTTTTTTTTTTTCCATTGTGCTTTTACAGGATCAAGGACCTTCTCATGTGTTGTCTGTAGGAATCGATAGCCGATGACTTTCCCAACGACCTGTTTGAAGCGATATTAACGTGTTACTAAACCCACAACAGTACAATCAGTCTGTAGATGCAGTAAAGCGTGCTTGTTATACTCACTGTGGACCCTAAGGGGTTAGTCCTCTGCATTGTGTAAAAAAGCTGTTTGATCCTGTCTTTGCTGATCTTTCCCTTCTTCTACTCTTCCCAATCCCTCTACTGACAAACAGAGCCTTGGGGACATGCAGCACATGCTCAGTTTGGTTTCTATTGCTAGAGGTTTTTTTTTTCTTGGGTAGGTGGATGTGATCAGCACAGTCAATCAGCACTGTCCAGAGAGAGATCAGGGATTCTGCATCCTCCTAGAGCAGAAAGAAAACTCCTCCAACAAACTTTAACCAGTGCTCAGCTGGACACTGATAGAAGCCACAAGATTGCTATATACTGCTGATGAGAAAAGGGATTTAGCAGTTTATATTTACTAAAATAATTCCATTTCCATGTTCTGTGTACTGTGGGAGACCAGATATAGTGAATGCAGGGTCTGGGGAGAGCAGATATAGTGAATGCAGGGTCCGGGGAGAGCGGATATAGTGAATGCAGGGTCCGGGGAGAGCGGATATAGTGAATGCAGGGTCCAGGGAGAGCGGATATAGTGAATGCGGGGTCTGGGGAGAGTGGATATAGTGAATGCAGGGTCCGGGGACAGCGGATATAATGAATGCAGGGTCTGGGGACAGCGGATATAATGAATGCGGGGTCCGGGGAGAGCAGATATAATAAATACGGGGTCCGGGGACAGCGGATATAGTGAATGCGGGGTCCGGGGAGAGCGGATATAGTGAATGCAGGGTCGGGGAGAGGATATAGTGAATGCAGGGTCCGGGGGAGCCGGATATAGTGAATGCAGGGTCCGGGGGGAGATCAGATATTGTGAATGCGGGGTCCGGGGGAGCAGATATAGTGAATGCGGGGTCCGGGGGGGCTGGATATAGTGAATGCAGGGTCCGGGGGGACCAGATATAGTGAATGCAGGGTCCGGGGGGGCCAGATATAGTGAATGCAGGGTCCGGGGAGATCAGATATAGTGAATGCGGGGTCTGGGAGACCAGATATAGTGAATGCGGGGTCTGAGGAGACCGGATATAGTGAATGCGGGGTCCGGGGAGAGCAGATATAGTGAATGCAGGGTCCGGGGAGACCAGATATAATGAATGCAGGGTCCGGGGAGAGCAGATATAGTGAATGCAGGGTCCTGGGAGACCAGATATAGTGAATGCAGGGTCTGAGGAGACCAGATATAGTGAATGCAGGGTCGGGGGGACCAGATATAGTGAATGCGGGGTCCGGGGAGAGCAGATATAGTGAATGCAGGGTCCGGGGGAGCGGATATAGTGAATGCAGGGTCCGGGGGAGCAGATATAATGAATGCAGGGTCCGGGGAGACTGGATATAGTGAATGCAGGGTCCGGGGGGACCAGATATAGTGAATGCAGGGTCCGGGGGGGACCAGATAAAATGAATGCAGGGTCCGGGGGGACCAGATAAAATGAATGCAGGGTCCGGGGGGACCGCGTCTAGCTCTTACCTACCCAATCTGACTTTCTCTGGCCCGTCCCTTTAATTTCAGTTTTTTCAGTCGTAGAGGCTCAGCATCACATGTGGGTGTATATACAGCTTGCCTAGGAATACCCTCTCCTCCAAACTTACATCCACCCATCAAAGTGTTTTTTATATTATTATTATTATTATAGAGTATTTATATAGCGCCAAAGGGTTTGCTCAGCGCTGTACATTAGAGTGGGGGACAAGACATGAGACAATACAGTAGCAAAAACATACACGATACACAAGGGTTAGAGGGCCCTGCCCTTTCAAGCTTACATTATATTTGCATAACTCCTCCCAAGCAGGGGTGGACTGACCATTCGGGCACCCAGGCACTGCCCGAGGGCCCGGGGTCAGTAGGCAGCTCCATGAGATGCCCCTGGTACCTTTCATAGGCTTTTTTGGGTGTGGTTTGAGTGTGGGCAAAGACACAAGGGCCCCATGATTTCCTATTGCCCGGGGGCCCCATGACTCATCAGTCCACCCCTGCTCCCAAGAGCCAGCCCATTGCTCCCATCAGGACTGAGGGCTTTTGGGAGGAGTACTGCGGAAGCTATGTACAGCACCCTGCCGACCCCTCCCAATAGCCATGATCTACCTGCATTGCATAGAAGCACAGAGACCCAGTGATGGTAGGTAAGGTTTGTAAGGAAGATGGAAAGGATTTTTTTAAAGATTTTATTAGAAAGGCGACATTAGAAAGGGGGGGGGCAGGGAATGTGGAATATAAGCAGATTAAAGATTCAAGCAGACGTTGAGTTATTCATCTGTTATTTAATCTCGTACATTCAGACCATAGTGTGTTGGCGTTCATTGTAACATCACAATGGAAAAGCGTTCATCAGCTCTTTGATGGCTGTAAATATCCCAGCTCAGACTTCAAAGACAGTTCCTTCTGTACTAAAAACAATAATATCACTTTGCCACCTCCTGACCTTTCCAGGAGCGGGGCCCTTCTGTAGGCCTGTCAGGAGGAGGAGGAGGAGGGTTTGGCAATTATCAAGACTTCGAAATTTAAAGGGCAGATCCAAGGTGAATGGTGGCTCCCACTAGAACTCACATCTTCATTTTTCTCTTTAAAGGTCACCTGACACCCAAGATAATAAACTTTGTCCACAGAGGTTGTCATACAGAGACATTTGAGCCTCATTGGGAAATTAGTCTGATTTTCTACAAAAATTTCAAAGTCGACTAAATTGCCCAGAGGGGTGAACAGGAATTTCACCCAAACCCAGCCTGTTCTCAGTTTGGTGAACAGCCGAACAAACTGGCCGTATTTGACTAGTTTGTCCATCTGAACATCAGCTGGGGACCTGTTATTTTGCAGCGGTATCACTTACCACCAGAGAATGACTAATCCCAAATGACCACCACAAAATGACTGATTCCCAGCTGGCTGGGATCCTGAGTAATGTAATTGACCAGACATGGTCAGCTGGATGATGTTTGTAAACAAACCAGCCAGGGATCCTGAGTAATGTCATTGACCAGACATGGTCAGCTGGTGGTGTTTGTAAACAAACCAGCCAGGGATCCTGAGTAATGTCATTGCCAGACATGGTCATGACCATATTTGGTAAGTGCTACTGCCACTAAATGACAGCTCCCTGACTGCTGTTTGTAAACGTGTCATTTAAAAAAAAAAACTGACCTTGAAAAAGGCCAGAAAATGTAACACGATTCAGCTCCTGTAGACTTCATTGGGTGTCCTGTAGTGATGTAAGGGGGCAGCAATAATAACCATAGCATTCAACAGGGGAGGACTTGGCATTTGGCACACCCAGAGGTTTTGGATTCAGAAGATTCTTTAGTAAGCTTAGCCCTTCAAGAGAATGAAGATAGCAAGTAGGGACAGGTGAGTATTATTAGTATTTCCTTAGCATGGTGGACTTTTTCATCGGCTTTTCTTTGGAGTTTGTGAACTTCCCATCAGGTTTGCCGAACATCCGGTGAACTGAACTTTGCCCGGTTTGTTCATCCCTAAAGGCCTTTTTACCTCTATCCTGGAGTGATATTTGAATCTTGAACCTCAGTGTTGCAAGACAACATTCATAACCAGTGTTGCAACTTGCTACTCTTTAAACAGTTGCGTCTGATGTTTATTGGATTTTGACAT